AAACAACTCAAAAACCACCAAAAAACTGATGGCCTGAATTTTCTGTTCTCACTAGTAGCCTCAGCTGGTAAGTACCCACAGGCTCTGGGATTCTGGGATCAGGTTGTGGGAAGCACTTGAGGACTGAACAGTGTTAATATTTTAGGATAGATGTGAATGGTATGGTTGTTAGGAGGAGCAATATTGATTATGTGAGCAGCAGTAAAGCATTTAGATCTGTATTAGCTCCAATGAGAAAATCGTTCATTTATTCCACATGAAAGAGAACTCCTCTCTGACTCTTGCTCTTGCCTGGAGGGCAGTGTGTCCAGGGCTCCGTGGCTGGCTGCCCTGGCTGGCAGTTGGCACACAAGGTCTCCATGGCCCTGGGCTGTGCACACAGGAGCTTTCCTGGCACTGGCACGTTTGGCCCTGGTGACCCTGGGCTCTGGTTCCCTGTTTGCAGAGGTGATCCGGACACGGCTGCGGGAGGAGGGCACCAAGTACAAGACTTTCCTGCAGACAGCTCGGCTGGTGGCTCGGGAGGAGGGGTACCTGGCCTTCTACAGAGGACTCTTTGCCCAGCTCATCAGGCAGATCCCAAACACAGCCATTGTCTTGTCCACCTACGAGTTAATTGTGTATCTCTTGGAAGACCACGCCAAGTAGCAGAGCCAAGATCCCAGTTACAGACTGAAGACCAATTTCTTCATTGAACAAATAGTCCTTTAAGAGACTGTTGCAGGTGGAAGTGCTGGTGGAAACACTACAAGTCTGTGACCATCTGTGGATATTTCCTTTTGGACTCATGCTTTCTAAAAGGTCTCAAGTCGTTAATAGTTAATTATAATTTTTTTAAACTTGATAATAATTACTACTAAATTAATTTACAGTATTTAATTTAATTATATGTTTGTCCTTTTCCTTAAGCACAGCCATATGTGGTCAAGGAATGTACCTCATACTATCAAGTGATCTCTTGGACTGATGTTCATTAAAACTGTATTAAAACAGGAGAACTGGCTTGGACATTTGAAACTGTTCTTACAACTGGGTCATATTGCTTTTGAGCCCTGTAATATCCTAAGTGCCCAAACAAGTTTGAGGGTAGTTCAGTTTGAGGGTTTTTCCAGGGTGCATCATTCAATGCTGTGTGAAGAACACCCTGGAGTGTTCAAATAGGACAAACTTGTTTCTCTGTTTTGATGGCATGAACTGTGCACACCAGCATCTCTTAGAAAAGCCACTTGCACTGGCAGTATGATGGTGGGAGGCTTTTAGGAAGAATGTAATTGCAGTTCTGTGTCCCCTGTGCACTGGGATATGGTACTGGGTATGAACAGATCTTTTAGACCTTGCTTTGGTGCAGGCCTGAGAGCACAAGGACAGTCAGTGACTGTGGAAGCTCCACCAGAGAAAGATTTTCAACAGTTCTCATGACACAATTCTTGCCTTTTACTTATGAATCAAATATCTTACATACTTGAGATTAGTTCTTTTAAAAGCATTAGGTTATGCTTTCATTTTAATAGTTTTCACCCCACTTGTATTGCAGCAGCACCTTGTGACTAAAGTGTGGCATATGAATTACTACTGACAGTGCAGGATAACATATTTCAGAGCTCACATGTAGGCTGGTGTTTGCTCCTTCCTTTTCATTAGTGCCATTTGCTTTGGCAGCTGAACAGGCACTGCAGCATCTGAGCCCAGCTCTGCCCTTCCCTGCCTGAGACAGCAACGAGCTCCTCGTGGTCTGGGGACAGCTCTGACTTCAGGGACTGCTCCCAGCACAGATGTGTGGGCTTGGAAGGAGCCTGGGGAGCACTGGGAGACTCACTGGGAGTGACTGGGGCTGCCTTTGATCAGCTGGAGTTTTTTGACCAGGCTGGGATTTTGTTGCAGAAGTAGGATGGGCTGATGACTGGACTCAAAGGTTCCCATTTGTTCCCAGTAGACCCCAGCTGATGATTGGTACTCGAGGTCATGCTTGACATCAGTGGGATGTGGGAGCTCAGTGCAAAGAGTGAAATGTGTGTGTACCTCATTATGAGGCAAAACTGCAAAAAATAACTGATTTCTATTGTGTCTTCCTGGAAATTACTTATCACATTGCCCCTAAGCTAAAATAGGAAACAGTTGAGTAAAAAATGGCTTTTTTTATGGAGATGATGAGCAGCAAAATCTTCAGGCTCTTTATAGGAGGCAAAACTGTCAAACAGTGTTTCTATTTTTGAGAACTAGGACACTTGTACTGCTACTCTGAAACATTTTCTGAGATTTGCTTTCCCAAATTAGCATTCCTCTGTACTTCCAGTGCACTAGCTGACTTCAAAATGTTAGTCAAATGTGTAGACTGCTGATGTCTTTTGAGAATGAGGGGAGGGAACTCCAACCCTTTTGAGAAGTCTGGGACTTGGTAAGAGAGAAAGCAAGAGAAAGTGAATGAATTTTTGTTTCACCTAAATCTGATGGGAAATCGAGAATTCTGCAGGATTTTTGGTTTTCTCCTTTAAGCTTTGCTACCAATCCTGACAGAATTAGTCTTAATTTGATAAGGGGTTAATGAGCTATATTGGGAGATAATAGAGTTTCTGAGCTAGTATAATTAAATCCTTTTTCCTTCCTCTCCCTAATAGAATTTTTAAAATTCACTAACCCTTGATTCCTTAAACTCTGTAAAGAGTTACCATTTTTAGGTGATGCTCTGTGAGCAATCCCATTGATGTCACTGAGTATGGAATAAGCCTATTACCAGAGGGAAGAATTTGAAGTAGCTTTTTCCAAAACGATACCTGAATTTAAAAATAACCAACAACCTTTCTCTGCTTGTCAAAGTCAATCTAAAGGAATTTTTCACTGTTCTTTCCTCTTCTCCAGCTTCTACAGAAAGTCATTTTCATGGAAGGTAGGTAAAGGCTTCATTACTAGACCCTTTGTAGCTTAATTATCAGGAAGGTGATGGACCTACTGCTATCTGAAGTGACCACGAAGATTCCATTGACTTTACCAGGACTGTGCCTGTTTCCATTCATAAATTATCAGTTCAATGGAAATTACACACATACTGTTGCTGCAATGTTATGAGCTACTCCTGTGGGTTAATTTTGTTTTGGAAGTATTTTGGAGCCACTCGAGGATTTCCCAGGTCCTTACACTGTAAGAGTTACTGCCTCCCTTTAGATATCACTGCTTGCCTTGAGAGCCCTTCAAAATATCTGCATTTGCTGGGAATTGTGTTCCATGCACTGTGATTGTGCCCCTTGCACAGGTTCCTCATTAGCTCCTTTAAGGAGGAAACGAAATTTTAAACAATGCACCTCTGGTTGGACTGATAGCACAGACAGAGCTGATAGGAAGGGAGGGACTTGTGTAGGAAAACCAGATCAGCCCTGCAGCACGAGGACATGCAGCAGGTCTTGGTGTGCCAAATGACTGGGTGGGTTTTCTTCCTCCTTTCCCTATCATTCGGTCCCATAAAACAATCCCTAAGTAATTGCACTAAACAATGGAAGAGAGATGGAAAAATTACGTGCCTTTTAAATTCGTTGAGATGAAATAGTCGCTGTTACTCCCCAGAATTAATTTCCATAGTTAAACCTGTACAGATGGAAATGGAACAGTGAAGAGCCCAACCATAGTTAAGTTTAAAAGTTACAGCTTACTCCCAGCACAAATATTTGTCTATGAAGAGCTTTTCCATTTATGCCTTTTAAAAAACAATGCTGATATAATGTGGAACCCCTTAATTTTAAGTAATTTTATTGTGCTGAGAAGTTTTTGTTTTAATCACAAAAGCAGGTACACAGTTTGAGGCTGGGTCAGTCTCATATTTTGGAGAGATCTTAACCTCTTACTTTCATGTAAAAGCACAGCAGGACTATCAAACTACGAGTTCAGTGAGAGCAGCAGATGGCAGCTGAGGGATCAGAGCATACCTGGGGTTCCTTTCCTTTCCAGGGAACAGCTCCTGAGCAAGAGCCAGTTCTGTGCTGGTCACAGACCCCTCATTCCCACTGGTGTTCGTGGTGCTGGGGTGGATGTGTGGAGGGGTTTGAAGCTTTTTCCCCGTCAGAGCTGGGGCTGTGAGGGGCTGAGGGTCACTCATCCCGGCCTGCAGCATCCCCCCGAGGGAAGAGGGGCACGCAGAGATCTCTGCCCGCCGTGGGCACAGACCCAGGGGAGGTTGGGTGGGATATCAGCTTCTCCTCTCAGAGAGATCAGGCACTGCTCAGGCTCCCCAGGGAATTATCCCAGCCCTGAGGCTGCCGGAGCTCCAGGAGCACTCGGACAGCGCTGCCAGGGCTGCCCAGGGTGGGATTTTGGGGTGTCTGTGTAGGGCCAGCGCTGGACTGTGTCCCTTCCAGCCCAGGATATTCTGTGTAGGGACAGCGGCTGGATTCTCTCACTTTCAGCCCAGGATATTCTGTGTAGAGCTGGGGGCTGGATTCTCTCCCTTCCAGCCCAGGATATTCTGTGTAGGGACAGGGAATGGATTCTCTCCCTTTCAGCCCAGGATATTCTGTGCAGGCCCAGGGGTTGGATTTTCTCCCTTCCAGCCCAGGATATTCTGTGCAGGCCCAGGGGTTGGATTTTCTCCCTTCCAGCCCAGGACATTCTCTGCAGGGCCGGGGGCTGAATTCTCTCCCTTCCAGCTCGGGACACTCCGTGCAGCGCGGGCCGCTGGGCCGCCCTTGGCCGGGGCCTGTCCCTGTTGTCACACAGCAAAGCTAATTTTAGGAGAAACCAAACCCCCCCTGCTGAGCTGCGTGCGCCGGGCGCCGGGCCAGGCACGGCGGGCCAGGCACGACCTCCCCGGGCCGCCCCCGCAGCCGGGGCAGCGCCGGGCCCCGGGCCGCCCCCGCCGCCACGATCGCGGCCTTTGCGGCGCTGACTCACGGCGGCCCCGCCGCACGACTCCGGCCTCGCCGTGAGTCACGCACCGCCCCCGCGGGCCGGGGGGCGGGCCGGGGGGCGGCCGCGCCCCTACAAAGCGGCTCCGCCACCGCCGGGGCAGCGCCGGCATGGACGGAGCCGGGCTGGGCGTCACCGCCTGCGCCGCGGCCGCGGGGCTGCTGCTCTACCGCATCGCGCGGAGGTACGGCCGGCGGGGACGGGGACGGGGACGGGGGAGGCAGCGAGGGAAGAGAAGAGAAGGGAAGGAGGGAGGAGGAGAAGGAGGAAGGCAGGGCCAGGGCCATGGCGGGATGCGGCCCGCGGCGGCGGGAAGGCGCCACGCGGGGCCCGCCCGGCCGGGAACGGCGGGGCCGAACCGGAGAACCCCGGTAGGGTCCGATCCCGGGGAGCCCCGGTAGGGTTCGATCCCGGGGAGCCCCGGTGTGGGTCCGATCCCGGATAACCGCGGCAGGGTCTGATCCCGGAGAGCCCCGGCAGGGTCCGTGCCCGGCCCCGGGCCCCCAGCGCGCTCCGTCCGCAGCAGGAATGTGTGGCAGAATGGCTGGAGGCGTTCTGGCCGATCCCGGGAATGGCTTTTGTGTGCCGGGCTGAGCATCCCGGGCGCGCCGCGGGGGGAGCGGCGAGCGCGCCCCGACACCGCCCGCCCTGCCCCTGCTCCCCCGATTGTTTCCTGAGGTCTTTGGGGCAGGGAAAGACAAGATCCTGCTCCTTCGGCTGGTTGATGTAGGGGGAAGGAAGGATTGCTGGGGAACGGGTCTGTGAAAGAACAACGCTCTTAGCACAGTGCTAGAACTTGGGGAGGTTCTATACCAGTCAAAATTATTGTTCATTCTTTGGTTACTTGTTTCTTAATTGCACGGAACCTTCCTGACATTAGAACAAATTCAGAGCAGTTGAAAACCAGGTTTGAAAAGCATCAGGAAAGATGTCACGATTCAGATCTCATAGAAGGACAAAATCTTAATTTGGCAGATTCTAATCTGGCGCAGAATGAAAGGAATGTAGGGATCTGTGGAATATGAGGCATTTCAGTCTTTGTAGCAGTATAGCCTTTGCAGTCTGCTCATCTATTTAATGCTTTGTTGGAGACAAGCCAGTCCCAAGGGCTCCCTGTGTTAAGGTTCACTTCAAGTTTACACTTTGCAAGAGAAGCATATTCCTCCATCCTCTGTGTGATGTAAGGCTTGCTCTGAAGCATTTACTGTTCATTTTACCATATCAGTGATCAATGGCACATTAACCCATATACAAGACTTGGCATTTCTATGACATATTTAGGGTAGCCAAGAAATCCAAGTGGCCTAAAGCAATCCCAGTGAAGCAGGCAAGATTTCTTTGACCCAGCTGAGGCTAGCATGCCTTTTGAAGGAGGAGATTGGATTTGTTTTACTCAAGTTTATCAAAAGGTCTCTGGGATGGAAAGCATTTCTTCCCAAGTGCTTGAAGGCTGCCGGTAAATTCTTTCAGGTGACCTTGATAATTTTGTGAGGCTCTGTGTTTGTTTCTCAGTACTATTCTGATACTTCCAAAATTCTTATTGTGCCTTAGTTAAACGAATCTTCCGTAGTCATCAAGGAGGACAGCTTAATAAGGGACACAGATATGATGTGATGCTGCCTTTCCTTTTTGTTTATCAAGGAGATAAAATATTTATGTCCAGATAGGAACAGAACCTGGGGTGGTTGTCACTGGGTGTGTGTCCCTGGGCACCTTTTCCTGGTTGAGAGGACACCAAGTCTGTGTCTTGGGGAGGACAGGCTGCATTGTAACTTCCATCACTGTACTGGGAATTTGGTCTTGTGGCTAAATCTCGTCTATAGCTGCCAGTTGTGAGCAAATGCATCTATATTACAGCTCACCTGCTGGAATCTAGGCAGCTGTGTTTTGTTCTTTTTGCATTGGAACATGGGGTTTAGCCCTGGCAGACCCCTTTACTGGCAGGTGATGGGCACGGGCACAGCCTGGAGCTTCTGTGCCCCCCAGGAGTTTCCCTGCCAGGGAGCTGAGCTCTTAGCCCAGTTGTGCCAACAGTGCCAGCACTTGGTCTGTCCAGCTGCCACCAGATGTGGTTTGATCAGACCTGATCTGTGCAAAACAGCTCCTCTTCCCCGTGTACTTTTTGTCCAGATTTGCTGGCATAGCCATTTGAACAATTGCTTTGTAACCCGGTTGTGCCAGAATGAAGACTGCTGCTTTAAATACTTTTAATAGGGAATTGGGTTTTTCTTCTAATCCTTGGTAACCCAGCGAAGAACTGCACATCCACCAGTGATCTCTTTCAAGACTACAGAAAAGTAAATATCTTCATCTTCTCACTTAGTAGTAAAGAGGGTGGGGAGTAGATGTAAATATAAATATTTACAAATCCAATTTATTATTACCAGCACTTATCAAGGTAGACTGTTGTTCTGGCAATCCATTGGAAGCATGGACTTCAGCATGACCTTAAATGTGTGTGTAAATGAGGAGTAGTGAAGAGTGCTGGGAGTTGGAAGGAGCTTAAGTTCCTCCTTGTGTTACATGACAGACACAAACTGGTTGTTAACCAGTGTTTGTCAATGGGACCTGCAGAGCTGCAGCCTGATTTCTGTGAGCAAAAGAAAGGAATCCAGCAGCTTCTCACAAAGGAACATTTTGTCACATTATCTGAGCAACGTCAGACATTTAGGTGTTGATGTCATAACTGACTTTACTGCAGGTAACTTTTGTCTTAAGCAAATATTTTTCTGCCTGCAAAACAATTTGTGCAAGCCTGGGAATTTTTCTGGGCTTGATTGTGTGTGCAGGTTACCCAGGGAGTTAGCACAGCAAGTCAGCTCTGAATGCTGCAAGTAACTCAGTCACTTCTTCTTGCTCAGGTTTTAGTTTGCAGGGAGGTTCTTGTCCAGTGAAGCTGGTTCAGGTTAGTACAGTGATAGGTTACAAACTCCTCAGGGATGATTTGCCTTTCGATTTGCAAGGGATTGAGCACGTGGCAAAGGCTCGATTTTGTGTTGTCAGTCTCATACCAGGGTCTGCCTTTAGAAGCAGTGTGTGCTTTAGCTCACTGCCCTCAGCTGCTGCCTCAATTCAGCCAAGGTAAATATAGCTCCAAAGTAGTTAAATCTGTATTTGAGAGTCTTTCCAAATGCAGAACTTGTTTTTTCAGTCCTGCCCAGTTGCTAGAAAATTTGCACCCTACCTACGTGTTCTTGCCTAAAAAAACCTTTTTCTCCCCTTGTTCTTCTTTTTGTATCCACCAGATTAGGAATTTGGGATTTTTTGCACCTATTTCTATGGCAACAGATTATAGTAGGAAGGAAGGAAGTATTATTGCCTTTTATCCTAAATAATCCATGACTTAGCCAATTCTTTTGCATAGAATGAAGTGCTGCTGTTTAATCCTTGGTACTTCCTGAGCCTCAAGAGTGAGAAATGAAATCCTGTTTGGAAAAAGATGGGAAGGTCTCGAGTATACTGAGGATTTGGTCTCTGATATTAGCGAGTTCTCAGGCAGGCTTTGGCACTGATTTTTGCTTTAAAGCATGACTGCTTTATTCATTTCTTCACCTCTGCTTCCCACTCCTGTTAGCCTTGAAATTAGAGCTGTTACTTCTGTCATGCCATGGAATTTAGAGCCTGGGGGGTGTAGAGGCTGAGGGGTGCTGTGTCTTATTTCCCTGGGTGCCAAAGGAAGGGATTGTGGCAGGTTCTGCAGTACCTGGGCAATAATCTCCTCCAGAGGGTGGAGTTGAGGCTGTGCCCTGGGAGCTGCAGGGTTTGTGTGCTGCTGGTTGAAGGCTGCATGTTAGATTTGCACAGATTTTATATCTGTGGTAGTGGGATTGGATAATACAACACGTGTTGCTGTCCATCCTTCATCTGTCTGTTTTGACAAGTGCTTGGCTTTTGGACAGCAGGAGCTCATGGATAACTCAGACTATCAACCTACATTTGTCTGCTTTGAACTCTGGGTTGGTTTAGGGGAGTTTTTTTGCCTGTTAGTTTTAGCAGTGATATTTTTAACTCAGATCAGTTGAGCCCCCTTGGCAGCAAAGAAAGTTGAGCAGGGAATATTCATTTTAAGAGGGGTGTGGGTGTTTGCATCTATTTTGAGATGAGAATCTGTCATCCTAGTAGCTCCAGCCATTTTCTTTCAGCATCTGGCAGGGAATCCTCTGTGCATTCTGACTTTTCAGTGCTTCATTTCAAGCATATCCTCATTGTTAGTGCCTAAACAGGAGGCTCAGACATTGCTTGAGGGTTTGGTATTTTCTGAACTGAGTTTCAAGGCATGGTCTATGGAAATGGGAGTGGGAAAAATGTCAATGGTGGAGATCCAGCTACAGAGGTGATGGCTGAGGGGAAGACCCACCTGGCTCTTTGGCTGCATTTCTGCAGCATTCAGATTCAGCAGCAGGGAACATTTCCTGGAGCTGGGAGGAGTTGCTGTCAGCTGGGAGCACTTTGGCTGCTGTTTGTTGCTCCCGTGCTGCAGTGGAGCCACACAGATCAATCCCTGGTGGAGCTGGGCTGGTGGCAGCCGGGTCCATCTGTCTGCATGGCTGCCACGGCGAGTCCTGAGCAGCTGCCCTCCCTTGCAAATGTGACCGGGACTGGTTCTGATAAACCCAGACAGCTGGGCTGGGCTGCCTTGTCCTGCCAGGAACCTGCTGGGGATTGCTCTGAGTTTGGAGACAAATGCAGAGCTTCTCTGGCAGGCAGGCTCAGGGGTCGAGCTGCTGAAGTTCTGTGAAGTTCTGTGCTCAAACATCTCTCACAAGCTGTTGTGGTGGGGCCATGGCACAGCTGTTTGTCTGTACTGGCTGTTGTTTTTACAGGATTGCTTTAGAAAACAAGGGGCTCATGGATCAAGGTCATTAGTCTTTATCCCTTCAGTTCTAGTGCATAAAAGCAGGGGATGAAATGTTGATTCCTCAGTTCCTTTAGTACCTAAGTTGTGAAGGAACAGCTGTTTACAGTGCTGGAACCTCAGGATAATGTGATGTGCCATTGTCCTTGAAAAATTTTCTATCCAGCAGGGCAGACAGAACTGTAACCATGAGCCTGTTTCCTGGCTTTCTGAACACTGTCACAGGCAGCTCTTGTGGATCCTGACTTCTTTTTCCTGGAATCCTGTGGATTAAGCATCAATTCTACTGCACCTTCTCATAAAATAGCACTGCTGATTATGGAGGGGACTTGTACCCCCAAACATACCCCTGCAAAACAGTGAAGTGGGTAAATCACAAGGTTGTTATTAAAGTCCTGCCATGTCCATGGTACTAGAAGAGATTGTCAGGCAGAATTTATTTCTGCTTTAACATTCCATCTTTTCATTGCTGAAACGTCTACTCCAAGCCATGCCATTAAGCACACAGAATGGGAAGATTGGCTGTTTTCCCACATTTAACTGCTTGAAAGCCATCAGCTGAGCTGAGTGTTCCTGGCTTTGCTGTGCCCACAGGAAGAAGCCCACACATGTGACAGTGAACTGCTGGTTCTGCAACCAGGACACGGTGGTGCCCTACGGGAACCGCAACTGCTGGGACTGCCCCAACTGCGAGCAGTACAACGGCTTCCAGGAGGTACGGGGGGCTGGGGGGCTCTGGGGGGCCCTGGGGGGCCCTGGGGGGCTCTGGTCCTCAGGTAACACAGTGCAGGTGAATGGCCAGTGGTTGGACAGCTGGCAGCTCTGTGCTGAGCACCCCTGAGCTCAGCCTGGAGAAGGAATCCACTGCACTGGGCTGTGCTGACTAGAGACATCAAGGCAGATTTCCCTCTCTTGCTTCAAAGGGCAAAAGTGGCCATGGCATATCTCTTAAGAATACTTTTTTTACTGTGTGGAACAATTCCTCTCTGGTTTTGTATTCTGTTAAATAGCAAAGCCTGTCTTAAGCTGAAATCCAGCACCACCAGCTACTTGTGATGGGTGTGCAGGACAGTGGAGATGGGAGGAAGATTTGAAGCACTTTCTCTTTTTTCCTTATTTATTTTGTAATGTAATTGCTAATGAAATATAGAGCTGCTGACAGAGCTTAGGGATTACTTGTAAGATTACTGTCAACCTAGCTTTGAGTTTATGATTGAATGTTTGATTTTCCTCCTTCTTTTTTGTCAGAATGGAGACTACAACAAGCCTATCCCTGCCCAGTACATGGAACACCTTAACCACGTTGTGTCAGGCAGTCCAACTTTCTGTGACCCTGCCAAGCCACAGCAATGGGTGAGCAGCCAAATTCTGCTCTGCAAGAAATGCAATAACCATCAAACCATGAAAATCAAGCAGCTGGCTTCATTCTCACCAAGGGAGGAGGTGAGTGTTCATTAGGGACTGCCATCACTGGAGGGTGTTTGTCCAAGGCATTCCCATCCATGTGTGCTATTCCTGCTCTGTTTATTCCATGCTGCAGCCTTGTAAGCAGGAGAGAGAGCAGTTTTCCAGTGTGCTGTGGAGTGATGCTCCCAACAGTCTCCAGAAGCACTGTGTGGCACTCCAGTGCAGAGAAGTTCAGTGATTAATGCTGCAAATTTACCCAATTCTACTTCAAAGCTGGAATGTTCCCCTGTTCTAGATGAGCACTGGGAATTGAAGCTTGAGCCCAAGACATTTCTGAGATGATCTTACAATTCCAGTACTTCTCATGACTGAGTTTGTGGGACCTGAGAGGCACAACAGCCCACTAATTAACAGGAAACTTTATCAGATCTTGTGTTCCCCAGGCCCTGGCCGTGCTGCTCTGCATTTACAAGTGAAGTGGGAGAGGAATCCTGTGAGCCACATGATTTCCCTGGTTAGGCATCTGTGCCTAGGAGGGCAAAGGGATTTTGCAGTTAGAGCAACAGGATTTCCCACTGAGCAATTTCTTGGCGTCCCCATGACTTGATGTGCATGGAGGATGGGACAGTGGGGTTTCTCCTTCACAGTTTTATGGCTCCCTGAAGTTCTGTGCAGAGAATTTAGTGCTGCACTCCTTAGCCTTCAACCATGGTCAAGCCTGTGTTGTAGTGTGATGTGTCCATCCTCTGGCTTGCCTAATCCAGTCTGCTTTGTGTGATTATAATGAATTTAATCAGGATGACTCCCAGAGAACAGATTGAAATTTGATCACACTTAATGAGAATATCTTTGGCTGGTGCCCTTTTCTCAGCTTTATTTCTAGTCCCTGCCTCTTGCCAGACCTATCCAGTGTCTCAAGTACTGCCAGCCTTTGGCCCCTTTTTAGGCATTCAGTGACCTGCAGTGCCTGTGCCAGCTGAGAAACCTGGGATTGTGTTATCCAGTGTGCTTGGATAAGGGTGTCAGTGACAGCAGGGCTAGCTGTTCCAGGGAGGGATGAGCCTGGAGTGAAGGAGCAACTGATATTTTGTGTCCCCTCATTTGAGGAGAGGAAGAGCAATTCTAGTGACTTGTCTCACCGGTGTGGGATTCTTAAGATCTCAACAAAGACAGCAAATTCAACATCCTGATGTTGGGCCACAGCTGCTTTCTCCAAGGCTCTTCTTTGCCATCCCTTCTGGGACATGGAGGCTGGCTGAGCTCTGTGTGGAGCTGGCTCTAAGCCTGGCCTGCAGCTCGGTGTCTGTCCAGGCCTGGTTTCAGGGATCTGTCCCTGTGACACCGGAGTCACGCTTAGAGCAAACCTGACAGGTGTGGGGCTCCTGCCGTGCTCACGCCCCTTTCCCCTGCTGCTGTGTCCCAGGGCAGGTACGATGAGGAGATCGAGGTGTACAGACACCACCTGGAGCAGACCTACAAGCTGTGCCGCCCGTGCCAGGCTGCCGTGGACTATTACATCAAACACCAGAACCGGCAGCTGCGCGCGCTGCTGCTCAGCCACCACTTCAGGCGCCGCGACACCGACAAGAGCTACAGCCAGGTACCTGGGGACACCTGAGGGCTGCGGGGCAGGGACAGGGATCTGTGCCACCGCACCTGCTCTGCAGCTGCCAAAGGGAGGCAGCAGCCCGGGGCTCTCCAGCCCTGGGAGCTCGGGTGTGTGGCAGCACTTCAGAACAGCACAGGAGAGTTGCCACAGATGTTTGTAATGTTAGTTTGAGGTTTTCCTCATGCTGGTGTCACTCAGCACAGTTGCCAGAAGGTAAGTCTAATGTAATAATAGAGTGAAAGGGAGATAATGGGACAGGCAGAAAAAGGGAAGTAGGAAAGCCAATTTATGAGTGCAGTGCAGGAAATTACAGAGTACAAGGGGAAAAAATTAAAAAAAGAACAATGGGAATTGAATTATGGCCTTCTTGTTTCACTGCCCTGCCTGACCTTGGCTTCTGCTCGTGTCTCTGCTAGTCTACAATAATCCCATGTGGTGTCAGCCCAGTGGAGAGACTTAGAAGGACTTGAGCAGAATAGTGCAGTAAACCATACAGTCTGGAAGTGTTTCATACAGCACTGAACCTTGCTGCAGTTCATTCATTCAGTTCATTCTGACAAGGCGTTTCTCCTTTCCTCTGCAGAGTTTGTGTTCATCCTCCTCTTCCACTTCCATCACCACGCCAGCTCAGGTGATTCTTCTGCGGTTCCTGGCCTTCCTCAGCTGTGCATTCCTGGTTCTGATGGCCTTGTACGGGTCAGGAGACCCCTTCTCCCTCAGCAGAGCTGTCCCTGCTCCTGTCCCTGCTCCTGTCCCCTCTGGGCCCGTGTGGAACAGGACAGGAGCCAGCCCCGGTGCTGGCGGGGGCAGTGCCAGGGACAGGGGCAGTGACAAGGACAGTGGTGGTGGCAGCTCGGGACGGGGCTGGCAGGAGCTGCTCCTCCTTCTCCCAGAGCACCTCCTGAAGAACCTGAGCTCGGCGTGGGCCTATGGCAAGAATCATCAGATGGCAGTGGCCGTGCTGGGGCTCTTCACCTGCCTGCTGGCCATGCTCCTGGCTGGGCGCATCAGGTGGGTGTGCTCGGCTTCTGTGTCAGCCCAGACTGCTGCAGTGGGAGCTGTCTAGTCCTGTGTTGCCTCAGTGATCCAGGGGTAAACATTTCCCAGCATGGCACATGCAGTACTGCATGCCTTGGTTCATTCCGTTTGAATGACTGTGAATGAAAGGCTGCCCGTGCAGCTCTGGTAGAAAATGGAGCTGATGTGCTCAGACACTTGCCCAGCAGCGGGCAGGGCTGCACACCATGTGCTGTAGTCAGAGGCAGTGCAGAGCCTGCTCAGCCTGGGTGTCCTCCCCACGTTCCCTGTCCCTCCCCACACCGGGGTGGTGCCGTGGTGTCTGATCTGTTCGGGTTCTGTTCCCCCGGCAGGCTCCGGCGGATCGACGCCTTTGCCTCGCTGCTGTGGTTGCTGGTGATGTCGCTGCACGTGGCCGAGCGGTACCTGCAGGCAGACACGCCCAGCTGGCTGGACACGGCCAAGTTTGGCACCACGTCCCTGTGCTGCCTGGTCGGCTTCACCGCAGCCGTGGCCACGCGGAAGGCGACGGGCCCGCGGAGACCCCGGCCCCGAAGGTCAGAGCCCGAGCAGTGACGCTGGGGGAAGGAGGAAAAGCCTTGGGAACTCCTCGCGACTGGTGCTTCTCTCTCCTCTTGTCATTTTTCCTCCCTCTGTTTCTCTTTTTTAAAGTTAGATAAGCAGTGAAGATCTCTTCTTCCTTTTTTTTAATACATATATATTTATGTATACATGTATATATATGTATGTATATATATATATATATGTGTATATATATAATTTTTTCCCCATCCTTGCTTACCACTGTGCTAGCTGCTGGAGCATTTCCTCTGCTAGCCATGGGAGCTGCTCGTGCTGCCTCCATTCTCCCTTGCTCCTGTATCCTACATCAGCAGTACAAATATCCAGCTTCCCCAAAATCAGTTCTTCAGCAGCTGCCTCACAAACTGCTCCATAAATGCAGCCTCCTCCCATTCTGCTCCTCCAGCCAAGGAGATTCTGGCTCCTCCTGTCCTCCTGGTTCTTCTCACTGCCTCTCCATCCTTAGCCACTCACTGAGGAACCCTCTGCCCTGATCCACCATGGGCCACCTTCACTTTCCTAATGGTGCTGATCATTTTAATTTGGAACTGATGGGAACTTGCCTCTGGATTTGGAGTCCTCGTTAACACTGCTGTGGTGCCCAGGCACACGAGGAGGGGACCACACAGAGCCCATTACCTGGTTCTTCTTGCCTTCCACTGTGTAGCATCACTTACCTGTATCCTCTCTCACTCTGCCCTTCTCCTGGCTCCTGTTTGAAATGGAGAAGTGTCCTTAAGTGCTTCTGACTGAAACTTCAGTAATTTATTCAAAAAGGTGCTTTAAAAAGTCATGTAGCTCAGGGTGTCTTAATACATGAAAGTATTCAGCTGTTTGAGGTTAAATTTCCAGATCTACCTGTGGTTGTTGCTTTCAGTGCCAGTTTTCTTTGGGTTTTTTACCCACCTGCTCCCCGAGCAACATCTGTGTATAAGCACAACTGGATAAAAATGTCAATGTTCCTCCACTCCTGTAGCCTTAGAAGAGAAGAAATATCACAATATCTCATGCTGTGATATCTGGTCAGCTTCCATTGTGCATCACTGTCAGTCAGTGTTCATTGCTGAGAGCACAGATTGGAGGGGGTGGGAACTGCTGTGGGACTGCATGGTTACAGAGATGGATTTTTTGGGTTACTTGCAGGGGTTCTTTTTGTAGTCTGGCATTGTGGTAATACTGCTGAAAAAAGGGTGTGGAAATTGTGACTTGGGGTTGAGTGCCTGGCACTCCTCTGCTGACAGCTGGGGTGGTTGGTATTGCTGTGTGGAGAGGAGGGAACTTCCAGCTGTTTGGGTTTTTTAGGATTAACTTGTTGGGGCCTCTTAGGATAAGCAGTCTGATTATCCTGCACAGTTGTTTGAAAGGCACTTCACTGAGTCTCTGCTATGGATTTTGGTCTTTCAAGAGGAAATAGCACTTTGACAGATCTGCTGTTTTCTTCTGTTCAGCACAGTGGAACTCACCACCCTAATAGTCTGATACAAGTTAATTGGGTCTAATGCTCTTCCAGTGTATAAACTATAAAATAATCAGAATGGAGCTCTCACTGTGAAATATCTGCAACTCCTACTGCATAATGCAGACACTACTGGGTGCTGCAGATGCTGGTGAAATTAGAGGAGTTTTTTTAAAGGAAACAAAAGCTGTTCATACTTCCTGTTCCTCGAGCTGCTGTTCATTGTGACAGCATAAAGGTGGCACTGCCAAAAGCTCTGAAATTCATTAACAATAAGCCAGGCTGAGTCATGGGAAGGTGCAGCTCCTGGCTGTGTGCCTGTACCTTAGCAAGGCAATGGCCACACAGACCTGCTGCCCACCTGGGCTCTCCTTTGCAATCTTTTTCTGGTGCCTTCAGGTAACTTCAATATCCACCTCCAAGCTAACAGAGCCTGGCTCCATCCTGGTGCTTGTGAATGATGCTGAGGGTTGTTTACTTACCCAGCACCTTCAAAGTCTGGTTCCATCTTCCATGTTCCCATCACTTACCAGTCCTGGCCCAAAACATTTGCATTCCAGCTCACAGGCACGGGAAACCTTGAGCTATTATGGCCATTAAGTTAAATAAGACATCTGGACTTTTTTTTAATTCCTCCCTTCTTTCTGCCTCAAGACTTCCAAATTTTCCTCATAAAGTACATGTAAGAAAAGACTTTTATCTGTGATTGTCTTCTGCACTTACCTGTACAATTTGTATTGAAAGTTCCTCTTGCTATTCTCCTGTGAGATGTGTCCGAGGAATGGGAGGAATCTCATATTTGAAGGATGTATTGAGAAGGCTCACAGGAGGGGTATGAGAAGCTGACAAACTCAGTGGGAATGGTCATGGTAATGTCATGCCTCATTTCTGTCAGCAATATCCTTGTATTAATTAGAATGAAATTAATCTGTCCAAATTTTCTTGCCCAGTAGTAAGGAAACTCTCAGTGGCAGCTTCTAAAGACGGCTGGCAGCCTCTTCAGATGTTTTATTTTCAGGAGCTGAAAGTCAAGGCTGTGTTAAGCTTCACTGTGTCCTGTTTCATATTGTCTCCTATCTCCTCTAAGTAGCTGCTTTCCTCCCTTTTTAGAAGCACTTTGGTTTTTTCTATCTATTTAAACTTGACTCATCCTCAAGCTCCCTGGGGTCAGGCACTTTTTGTGATGTTTTGCTCTTAAATGTTACCTTGGTTTACCATGCCTGTTCTTTTCTCTTAATATCATTTTCCCTATGCAGTGCTGGGATGGGGAGGATGCACACTCAATGTTGGGAACAGGCAGTTGGTAGAACTGTGGGAAGGAGAGGATTTACACTGTGAAGCCTGAATAATCCTGTTAAGGAATATTTTGGCTCTGTTTGCACAGCAAGTGCAAATCTATACTGAGTTTAAAGTCCTTAAATGTGGGAGATATGTTAACTGCAAGTGACATCTGTTTGTCTTCACTTTATGCAGATTAATACAAATGAAGTATATTTACTAGTTGCACTAATTTATATGTCAGAACATCAGAAAGCTACTTTGTTTTATGGCCAAGCTGTACAACTGATCTCTCTGGTGCTTTGTTCACAACTTACAATTGAAGAACTTTTGTGCTTGTAATTGGGATCATTTCAAAGGTGAAACAGAATAACACAGTACATATGGAAGTGGGGTTCATTTAATGCCAAAGAAGTTTTTGTTTTTGCTCAGGTGTCAGCTCATTTTCCCCACTTCTTGGTGCCTCAGCATGTCTGTGCTGCTGCTTCTAAAAACGACAAAAACCTCAGAGCCTCAAAACCAAACTTGCAACAATTGTGTTTGGTGTTTTAGAGACTCTGATGCTGACAGCCTCCTTTTTCTCCTTGTCTCACATGATTTTGCTGATGATGGATCTTTTGTGGTAAGGGAGGAAAGGAGGAGCAGGGTGGGTTTTGCCCAGAGATGTTCTGATTTATAAACTGTAGCATTCAGTCTGTACCAGCTGTGTCTCAGACAATGAGCCCAGCAGATAAGTTGTAAGTTAGCAGTACTCTACTGTTGGTTGTGGAAAAAAAAAATAGTCAAACCACTACTGCCTTTGTTGAGACTGTTCTTACCACACTTGATTTCAAAGCCAAATTAGGCTGTTCTAGACTCTACCCTGCCATAGGTTCTGTATGGAAGGTGCTTTGCATTTTTCACTCAGCAGTTAGATATATCATCTGTGTCATCTAGATGTAGATATCTGAGCTCATCATCTAACTGCACCATTGCTTGAGTCCAGCAGGAGGAAATGTGTGTTCTGGTGCACAGTGGTCCTGTCCTGTGCAGCTGAGGTGCTATTTTGTGTGACACATTTCCTTCTGCTGGGTGGGATAAGAGCTGACAAAGGCTTGGTAACTAACAACCACAGCTGACACAAAATCCTCCAGAACCACTTGGGCAGTGCTTGGAGCTTCTTGTTTTCCCTTAGCTGGGCTCTTAGTTCAGGCCACAGAGGAACATGTGCTGACCTGTGGTCTCCAGGTGCTGGTTTGTTGCTCTCAGCCATGCAGGCCAGAGCATGCAAACATCTTAACAATATTAGAGGGTTTTAGCCCAAAAGCCCCTAATTCAAGGTGCTGCTTTTTCATACTAACCATGTGCTGGACCAGAGGATGGTAACAGCAAACAGAGCTGAGGTGCTGTGGGTGTGTTAGTGGCTTTTTGTGTCACTTGAAATCCAATCTGCTCCATCCCCAAGTGCCTGGCTCTGGCCGTGGCTGATCTGCCAACTCAAAATCTTGTACCTGCCCAGCAGAGCCAGATTTATAAAGGGGCCAATGTGGGTTCATTAAGTGCCTTTCCCTGGACAAGATTTGGGACAACACTGTGTTGCTTTGCTTGGTGGAACCATGGCTGCAGCAGTGCCCATGTGTCTGCCAGGCCAGCACTTCTGTCCTTCCTGTGCCACCACTGAGCGTGGCAGGGCACAGGGGGACACCTGGGCTAACATTTCTGAGCAACTCTGCAGGGGGGTGAGGGAGAACCCAGAGGTAGCAGCCGAGTCAGCATCTCTGCTGCTGCTGCTCCTCTTCCTCCTGAGGCCCTCAGTGACATCAGTGCATGCAAACTGACTTTTGTGGCCATTTACCATTCTAAACACACTGTATTTATATCCAGTTCTTTCCTTTCTCTTGACTCCTCCCTCTCTACATCCATGCTTTGCATGCCCTAGTGAGCTTGGGTGTGTCAAAGGGTGTGAGCATGTGGGAATATAAAAACGCTGTAGTGGCTTATTATTTTGGCTTTATGCATATTTATCAAGTGTGCTGAAATTATGTGAAGCTAATAATCATGTTTAGATACTATAGGAAGTATGTATTGATGTAATGTGGACAAAGTATTTATGCTCTTATAAAAATTAATATTATTAATAGCCAGATGATTGCTCCAGGCTGACTGCACTCATGAAAGTTGAAGGGAGCTGTGGTACATGGCTTTGCTTTGGTTTTCAGAGATGCTGTAGAAATTGTGTGCTGTCACAAACAACCTGCCAGTCCCTTCAGGTGTGCTGTCACCTGCAGGTACACTTGGCTCCTGGAGCCATGGCAGGTGCTCTCCAGGGCAAGGGACAGTACTCAGTCCTGAAGTCATCCCCTGTAAAGCCTCGTTTGGGACCAAAGCTCTTGAGTGTCCAGGCAGGAAGAGTTCCCTGAACATTTTTGGCATGGCAGCAAGTCTGTGTTTGTGTTTGTATTTTAGGATGTGCATACACACACCTCCCCACTGTGTGCCACCAGCTCGGGGGGAAAGGCACAACTGATGCCAAGCATCTGTATTCTAGAAGGTCTTAGTGCAGGACATGGCAGCTATACAATTCAACCCTCATTTTCCATCCAAAGCACAACAGGCAAGAGACAAGAATTCTTACTCTTGGCAGCTGAAGTTTCTAGCTCTCTAAGCCACATATCAAAATACAAATGTGTTTGAGAGCTGTGCCCATTTTAGCATTACTCTCCCTTGTCCCTGTGCCTGTTTTTTGTTCCTGTACTGCTCTTTACTCCTGGTTCTGTGAATTTGGCAGGAGGCCCATGCTGTGGCCCTGAGTGAGGTGCAGCAGAGCAGTGGCAGGGCACACAGGGTAACCTGTTCCTGGGGTGCCAGGACCTGTTCTGCACCCACTGCCCAGGGAGAGTGGGGGGCCCTGCAGTGCATGGTAGCTCAGTTCTGAAGGGACACTAAGTCCAGAGGAAATATTTCACCCCCTGGCTGACACATGGCTCCCCAGCTGCCCAGGGCAGAGGGAGCTGGGCACATCCTCCAAGCTGCCTGCCTGTGGCTGCATCTCACCTTTTTACTTCATGGGCTGAATTATCTGATAGAGCAGTGGGTCCATCTGCAGCCTGCCCCTGCCCTCCATGGCTCTGTCTGTCCCAGGATGATGCAGCATCTCTGGTAAAATGTGAATTTAAAAGGCACACACGTATGGTGGTGTCTGTGGTAGCAGGGACAGAGCAGGGGAGGCTCTCCTGGCAGGAGGAGTTTCTTCAGGACCGTGTACAGTCCCATACCATGTAATACTCTTCTTTAACCTTCTATTTATTTATTTTTAAAGTATCTGTGTAGCAGAGTTGTGCCCAACTGTCTAGTAACATTGTGATCATTGTAAACACTAATTAAGATTCCCAATTTTTGATGTTCACAATATCAAGTTCTGAAATAAACGGCTTCCGGGCCTTGACTATTTCCACAAACTATCTGACTCCAGAGCCTTTTTTTTCCTTCTTTTTTTTTTTATGTTATTTTTTTTACTGTTGCCAGAGCCACTGTTGCCACATGACAGATGGCTTGGAGCAAAGACCCAGCTGCAGTGCTCCATCCCAGGGCTGTGCTGTGCTTGCTTCCTGCCTTGTGATCCTCTTGATCCTCTCACCCTTTTTCATCTTCTTCTGGAAGAAGTTTTAGTTCAGCTGCCCGTTCTCAGGCATGGAGCACATTGCCATGACAGCTTTTAGCAGCATTGGCGTGGCAGTGGCAAACACTAAAGAGTGCAGAGAACAGGAACAGGATTTTGCACACTTAGCAGGAATTTGTTCAGAACAGATCAAGGTTTAAGACATACTTTGGTCAGAATTCAGTCCTAAGGCATTAATAAGCTATACTTAAAATTCTTCAGCTCCTCTTTGCTGATCAGAAAAATCCCTTTTCTAGATGGTTCAAGGCAAATGATTCTTCACTGCCCTGAGGATCTGGCTGCAGTAACTAGAGTTAGCAGTTAGGTGAGATTGAGCAGCAGAGCCATTGGAAGCCTGATCCAAAACAGTTCCAGTCCCAGGACTGTGGTTATGAGTGGTGAGAAATGATTGTAATATCTTCCAGCCCACTAAATGAAAGACTTCCAAAAGCCAATAAACCAGCTAAGCTGTTTCCTGCTGCAGCAAGGAGCTGTGTAAAGTTGGATCCTTTAGCCCAAAGACACAGAAGGTGCAAAGTTAGCACAAAAGAACCATGTTGCTCACAGGGGATGCTCTGCTTTGGCCCTCCACAGCCATGGCACAGTCAGGGGTAGGTATCACTTCTCACTCTTTCTCCTGTGATTCCTATCAGTCCTGAGCTGCACTTCTAATTCCCTTTGCCATTCATTTCCTCTTACAAAGCTGAGCTGGGCACATCCATCTGTGTGTGTGTGGTGGGGCAGATGTGTGTGGGGTGCTCTAAGGACACCTTGGCAGGTGCTCTGGAACCTGGACAGGTTGGGCTGTGGGGGTGCCAGAGCAGCACATCCCTGGGTCAGCGTGTCCTGCACCAGGACCCTGCTTGGCTCACAGCTTCAGCCTCACTGAGCTGGTCAGGATTGCTGATGGCTGCCTCCCACTAGCAGATAAGTCATTTATAAAATACTTTAAATTGTAATCTTAACTCTTAGAGTTTAGCATGGCATAATATTGCTGCACCACCTCTTTAATCTCCAGGATAGAATGGCATGTGCATAAATCACCCCACAGTGCAAGGCTGAGATTTTCTTCACCCTCTGATTTACTCCTGGCTTTCCTCTGACAGAAGAAAAGCCATGTAACCATGTTGCTGCTCTCATCTGTCTCTGTTTCCATCAGAAATGAGATTAAACCTCCAAATATCGTATCTGCTAAATTGTATCTGCAAAGTCAGATATCTCCATTTAAAAACATATGCACTTCATACTCAGTTCTTTATTATGATTTATTTGACAGTTCTATTACCTGCTTCTAACTAAAAAAATCTTACAGAAGGACGTTCAGAGATTCTGGTTCATGTTCTAGACTTTCTTTCATGTATTTTCATTCAATTGTTAAAAATAACACAAAATTCCTGTATTTTAACATCTGGACTTCATAAGGCATTCTCTGGGTAATTTTCTCATTCGAGAAAATTACTGGCATTCCTGAACTGTTCCACCCTCTTTTCCACCCTGTGTTGTGGGACAGGTTGGTGCACAATAATTTAAGTAAGGTTGAGCAGTTCTTCTTTTCCCAAAGTTTGGGGACATTCCCGTTAAACTCTTCAGCACTCCTGCACTGAAAAGTTAGTCCAAACCTGGTACCAAAAGAAGTGTTCCTGCAAGGCCAGCAGAAACCTGGTACCAAAACAAGTGTTCCTGCAAGGCCAGCAGAACCCTGGTACCAAAACAAGTGTTCCTGCAAGGCCAGCAGGAGAGGCAGCTGCTGGGATTTCTCATTGCTAAGTGTGTGTCGTGCGTGTCCTTTGCAGGTACCTCTCTGGGGACTCCATCACCGTCTTTCCCAGCAGCCCTGGCACAGCCTTCCCTTCACCTGCCACGTCTCTGTTTGTCCCAACACCACCCAGCATCCTCCACCTGACAAACCAGCAGCTCTTCAGGTCCCCACGCAGAACTTCCTCATCCTCCCTCCCCGGCCGTCTCAACAGGGCTCTCTCCCTGGGCACCATCCCCTCGCTGGCACGGGCAGGTGAGTGTGCAGGGCACTGTGCCACAGGGAATGGCACTGCCATTGCTGCAGGAGGAGAAGGGCTGGGGGGATCCAGGTGAGTGTGCAGGGCACTGTGCCACAGGGAATGGCACTGGATCCACACAGAATCACAGAATAACCAAATTGGAAGAGACCTCCAAGATAATAAAGTTCAACCCGTGCCCTAACACCTCACCTAGATCATGGCACCAAGTGCCATCCAGTCTTTTTTAAAATATATCCGGGGATGGTGACTCCACCACCTCCCCAGGCAAAGCATTCCAATACTTGTTATTCTTTCCATGAAAACACGTTATAGTCCTGTTCAGGGATGGCTGCTCCTGTGGCACAGAGGAGTATGCAGCAATAGGATTTGGGGCTTGGCAGCAGCTGAGCCAGCTGGGTTCACGTTGTTTCATTTTTGCTTTTAGATTCTGGCTACTTGTTCAGTGGAAGTCGACCGGCCTCGCAGTCATCCCAGTCCAAGGAGTCCCCTCCATCAGGTACTGCTCTTCCAGAGCAGCAGTCTTTGCAGGGTTTGCACTGAGGGGGTTGAAACACGTGGTCTGGTTGAATTCTTTCCTCCCTGCTTGCATTCCAGTGAAAATGTCCATTTTGCTGCTGGAAATGCTGCAGGGAGAGTCCCAGCTACAAGTGAGATGGCTTAAAATCAAGTGCTGTGTTGGATGTTCTCTCTGGGAGAGCTCATGGTGACATCAGTGGGACAAAACAAGGAGCCAGGAGCTGCTCGGGCAGGAGACTTCAGGTGTTTGCAGGGCAGCTCTTTTGGAGTTTTCCCAGCAGGTGCTGTTTGGCTGCCCTGGCTCCTGTGTCCTCCGTGACCTGTCTGCTGCCCTTCTGGCCCAGACGGGTCCCTGGGCTGTTGGTGCTGCTGCAGAGGCTGTCACACCCTGGGTGATGCAAATGCTCTTCCTCAGCAGCTCTGAAGGACGTGCCAGTACAATTCATTCACCTGCAGAATGGATTGTGCAGGCTCTCCTGGATGGACACAGCTGAGCTATGAGAAAGCTCACCAGGCTCCTGCTAACCTGACTCCTGAGCCGTTCCTGAGTGTACTTGTGGAATTCCTCTGTGTTTTGCAGTGTGGGGACTCAAATAAATAACGAATTGTAGTACAAGATACTGATGGGCATTCACAACTCGCATTCCTTTGTCTAGCAGTGCTGTTTCTCTAGCCGCGCCTGTTGCAGGGGGACGATAACCCGGTGGTTCTGTTTCCTTTGCAGATCCCTTCTCGCTGCTGGCCGGCAGCCGTGCCCCGTCCCGGATCCCATCCCCGGCTCCGTCCGTGGCCGGCTCGGTCACGTCCAGCTCGGGCTCGCTGCGCCTCCGCCGCCCGCTCATCAGCCCCGCTCGCCTCAACCTGCAGGGCCAGAAGCTGCTGCTGTTCCCGGCACAGAGCGAGGCCCTGCTCACCCCGAGCGGCTCCGAGGAGCACACCCACCCCGACAGCCACGCCTTTGCCCCCGAGCTGCCCGGCTTTCCCCGGAAAAGCCTCCTGGAGCGGGGAGTGCCAGGTGAGCTGGCAGTGCTGCGGGCAGGGGCACAGCCCTGCTACATCCAGGCCACAATAGATGGGAAACCTTCAGGAGAAACCGGAACGTTCAGGCGTGAATTTTCCTGTCTTTTTCTCCTTGCAGATATGAAATCTGCTGTGGAAGGGGGGAGCATTTGCAGTGATAATTCCATCAAAAAGGAGGATCACTCATCACACTCATCTACCTGTGTGGTAGACACAACCACCAAAGGGGAAGATTTGGCAGGCTGGAGAGGTGAGTGCAAGTCTGGTGACTGCTTTGTACATGGGTGAGCATTCCTGTGAGGGTAACTGAGATCTTTCCTGGAAATCAAATAAATAAGTAGTTGCAAAATGGACCTTCTGCCTGCTATTCTAAGATCTTAACAAAGCTATTCCTGTTCTTTGGACTGTCTGAAGAACACTGACAAAGTGCTAAACTGAGATAGAAGATGAGGGGTGGGGATGCAGGTGTCAAGAGCATGAGATGAGATGAGATGAAAATAGAGCCAAAAGAGGGCAGTGGAGTCTTTCCTGACAGGAAAAGTGTTTCAGCAATTTCTGCTTGTGCTGAAACACTGGACAGAGAGAAACAGTACAACATCTGTTCACTTTTACTTACCAGTTCTTTCATGTCTCTTTTCTCGGTGTTCTCTCCTGCCAAGGTCGCTGTGGTACCTCTGCTCTCCGGGGCCTGCTCGCCATCAGCCTGACTCTCAATGCTGTCTTCACATCAGCCTATGTGTACAGGAGCCTGCGCTGATCTGTGCCAGCATTTCCCTTCTCCTGCTCCCACCTGGTCCTGAGGAGGCAGGAAGAACCCAACCGTGGCTTCATGGCCAATGGCCACGCCACCGGTGCATGCTGTTTTCTGAAAAACTACTGTACCCTCAACTGGCATGAAAAGGAACCTGGGCAGCTGGTGCCATCACTTCCGGGCAGAACATATCCCAGGATTGTCCCTGGAGATGGCAGGCAGAATTCCCAGCTCCAGTTCAAAGCAGGAGGCCAGTCCAATGGCCCACAGACTTTCTTTCAAAAGAACTGACCTGAGACACAAGCCTGAAAATGTGTGAGCTGCATTTTTAGGAACCTACCCCCAGCTCTTCTTTCTGACATATTGACCTCGTGCTGATGGTGCTGGTAAAATGGGGAGAATTAGAACTGAGCTGAAGAAGAGGGATGGCTCAGTAGCTGGTGCTGGGCTTTGGCTACTGTCACAGCATCCCCAGCCTCTGCTCAGTGGTTCCTCTTCTCTCTTGTCTTTGGCGTTCTCCTCTAAATTGTCAGTGAACTCTCTTTAGTTGCCTTAAGCTTGCCTAAGCACATGGGTGACCTTGGCTGCTCTGTCATGTTCCTGTATCTTAGATGTCCTTGTGCTTCCAGCTGGACCTGGCCCTGAGGCTTTCACCAGTTCCATTCTGGCCGTGCTGGTTCTCAGCCCCCTGTGTGTGCCTGTGCCCAGCCAGCTCTGAGGCTGCAGGGCTGCACAGCCCCACACAGACACCCTGTGCTGGCTGCAGCAGAACCTGGAATCCCATGCTTTGCTTTGCCCAGGAGGCATTGACTGAAGTGGGTACAAAGAAAGGATCCTGGTGTGATTTGCACCGTAGTCAAAGGGCTTCAGCTCCCAGCTCTGCTGGAGTTCTCACTGAAGCAGTGAGTGCCAGAGCCTGTTCTTGCTGTAAATCGCACAAATCTGATTGTCAGAGGTAGGTGAGGAGCTGTCTGATTGTATACATCTATCTGACACCTCAGCCTCATGTTGGGATTTGCTAAGTAACTGTTTAAGATATTTCTTATTTAGTAAAATGCCCAGGTGCTCTTAGTGAGAAATGCCAAACCTGCTTCTGGACAATTCAGCCTTCTGGATAGATTCTTTCCTAGCCCAAGGAAAGTAGTAGATTTCCGAAAGTAGTAGATTTCCAAAAGCAGTTTGTAATTTGGATATTTCTGCTTTTGGTGAGTCTTCAGCATTGCTTAGAATTCAGGGGCCATTTAGAGTACTGTGCTGAACATTCAGAAAAATTTAGTGCAACTTAGGGGGGAAAAAACAAATCCTGATCTTGATGTTTTGGTTCCCAAAACCCAAGTGCAGAGAGAAGATTTATCAGTGTGTCAAAAATACCTGGTGAGAAGAGAGTTAACTGGCATTAGCTGTGTATTTCCTAAAGCAGGACTCGGATCTATTGAGAGTTTTTTTTGTTGTCTCTTCCTTTGGGCTCCTTTACCTCAAATGTCACTCCCTCACCCCACTGCCCTGTGTTTGCATCCTAAATTGGTGCTTCCTGTGTCTTTCCCTCCCTTGCAGTTTGCTGCTGTTCCCTGTCTTGTGTTTTTGCATGTGCACAGAACAAAGTGTGTGTGCTGCTGACCATTCTCAGCTCTGAACCTGAGGCTCACACCTCACAGTGATGATCACCCTTGCTTTCACTTCGTTTTTTTTTCTTGCACGTTTTAATTGAGTTCCTACCCCAGCCTCACTTGGTAGATGGTGGGAGCCCTGGCCAGACTCTGATCAGCTTTACTGCTGCTGATTCAAGCACTGAAAACCTGAGTGTCTCTGTTTCCCAAGTGTCCCTGCATGGTTTCAGCTGTCCTCCCTGTGGCTGAGACTGGTCCCTGGAGCAGGGGGAGCAGAGCTGCACACACTGGTGCTGCTCCCAGGGGCTGGGGAGAGGTCACTGCTGACTCTGCACCTCCCCTGGGCTCCTCAGAGAGCTGTGAGAGCTGTGAGAGCAGTGAGAGCTGTGAGAGCTGCACAGCCAGCACCTCCTGGACAAGGGCCCAGAGCCAGGAGGCACCTGCAGCAGAAAGATGTGCTGTAAATTGATGATTAATTCTATTGTAACTTGCATGAACTGTTCCTTGTAGCCAAACCAGACCCATAACCTTGTTGTGAAGAGATTTTTGTCCCTTTTTGTAGACTTTGCACGCTCACCTGTGCATGTGTAGGGGCAGGATGATGGCAGAGCAGCTGCCAAGCTCCTCTTAGAACCTCTGCTCTCAGGCTTTCATGATGTTCTGGTGCAGTGTGTGACATCCCATCCACGGATCCTTGTCCTGCCTAGAGGCCTCCTACACAGAGAGACAAGCTGCCAGAGGATGCTGTGGCTTTGCTTGTCCTTGTCACCCAGCAGATGTGCCCTGTGACTCCGTGTATCAAACCCCCCTGTCTGACCTCCCAGCCTGTGCTGTTTCACCACCACGCTCGACCAGATTGCAGCACCAACCTTGTCCTGCTCCCCTGGAGCTGCAGCGTCTGCACTGCTCTTCCCACCCTCATTCCAGAGCAGGAACTCTTAACTGGCACTGCACTTGTGGCTGCTCACAAACTCTTGTTGGAAGGGGCTTCAGTGACCTTGTCCAAAGCAATAGAGAGACTTGGGGGTTTATGACTGCAGAGGGAAGTTTTTCATTCTGGTGCTAGAACTCTTCTCCCGTGGTGCTCTCACGGTTGTGAAGCCTTTGCTGAGGAGCACACGAGTGTGTGAGTGTGTGTGTGAGTGTGTGAGTGTGTGTGTGTGAGTGTGTGTGCAGATCTACAAAAACATTTGGAAGGTTTCTTCATTTCAGATCTGAGCCCATGTTTGTCTTTATATTGTTGGCCTTAATCTAGCTCGTAGATACTGTGTCTGTCTTGCTGCTCTTTTCTGGACAAAGCTGGTTTGGAGGAAGCAGAAGTTTATCTGGTCCCCTTGTTAAAATCTCTGTGACTGATGGTGTTGATCTTCATACAGTGTTGTTCAGGGGGGAGATTTTATTTTTCTAATATTTTTCCTACTGTAAAAACTATTGGAGTGTATGGAGTAGAAAAGATCTTTACAAAATGGCCTGATAAAATTTGAACATGACTTAATACCAACAATTAGTGGTCTGGTGGAATATAAAGGAGCTTTATTTCCAGGCCTTTTCCATTTCCTACTTCTCATTGAAAATGTCCCAGTACCTTTTCTTTGGATATGGGCTTGTTAGGCATGTTCTGAGACCTTGCAGATATTTTAGATGATTTTGCTGTTCTGAATTAGAATGAATTTGTATTTTGGAGTCTGGTTCCAGTTCCGCAGTCTGGGGAGTTTGGCAGATGTGACAAATATTCTGCACATATCTGTTTGATGGGATAGAGGGAGTGGGTAGAATGAGTTTCTGGTTTCTGAAGTTTATCATACCTTTTTATGTAAAATCTTACATTAAATTGGTCACTGGGGTGGGAAAAGCTCGTTGCTGGCCTGTGTAGGGCAGATTCACTGAATTTTAGGCTATTTGTTCAAGCAACACACGAGGCCTGTGAATGTTTGGTTCCCTCTCCCTGTCCTGGGCGCTGGGAACATCAGTAAATCACTGCTGGCCTGGCTGGCTTCCTTGTAACAGGGCAGCTGCACTGAAGGGCTTCTGTTGCTTGTGGATGCTGCTATATTTTTTTTTTCTTCCAAACACCATTCCTGGAAATAACAATGGTCTTAACCTGTCTCACAGACGTTTGTTAAAAGGCTAGAATGGGCAGATTTGGCCCATACTTTTTTTTTTTTTTTTTTAAATATATGTTGCATCCAGAAATTATCATCACTGTGTTCTGGGGTGGGAGTAAGGTACAGAGTATTTTTGGATTGAATGGGTGTCTAGAGAGGGTGAGGAGGACAATTTCAAGTCCTAAACCTAATTTCCTGTGAAAGAAAGACTGTATGTTCCATGTGTGTACTTCTTTGGGGAGCTCTGTCACTGTACAGTTTAGTTAAACATGCTCCAAGGAAGAAGCTGTTCCTTGGAGGTTTTTAGTTCATGCTTTGTGTTTAAAGAGGAATATTTTTCTTTAAAAAATAAAACCAGATAAGTTTTCACCTTAGTGTGAGTGGTCCAGTTATATGCACACCGTACTTCTGTGTTTATTGGGCACTTAAGTGGGGGTTTTTAATGAAATCATGACTGAGAGTGCTTGTGTATTATTGTATGGTCTTAAATTTATGTTTTTATTTTGTTATTAAGTTAAGGGGCAGGTGGCATAAGCTGATCAACACTTTTTAAAGGAGGACATATTTTAATTAAATGACTGGCAGCAGCTCACCAGTACATGCAGGTGTATTTTGAAGGATCTCATGACTTGCAGTGCTTGCCCAGAGGTGACCCGGTAGAATGCACGTTTCTGGTGGAGCAGCTTCTCCATCGTCCTCAGGGGGTCCCGGCGGGGGCTCAAGCCCGGCCGTGTTTGGCCCTGGACGTGGCGGGTGTGCAGCTCATCCCGGTGGGGTAAGAACGGACGGGGATTCGGCCGGGAGCTGCCGGCGATGCCAGCGCTGAGCTTTGTCCCGTTCCCAGCCCGGAGCCGCCCCAGCCCCGCCGGTCCCCGCTCCTGTCGGGGCTGCCGAGCCCAGGCGCCGTCCTGACCCGGCGGCGACCCCGAACTGACCAGACTGGGCCGGGCCGGGCTGGAAGGTGGCGGGGGGATGGTTTAGAAGGACCCGCGGGGCCGGGGCGAGCGCAGCGGAGCGGGGGGCCATGGCCGAGACGGAGCCCGGAGAGCGGCGGGCGGCGAGCACCGAACCGGGCACCGGACCGGGCAGAGAACGGGACAGAAAGCCGGACAGAGAACGAGGCACCGGGCCGGGCACTGAGCCAGGCATCGAACCGGACACCGAACCGGGCACCGAACCGGGCACGGCGGAGGCGCCGCAGAGACCTCCGTACTCGTACGCGGCGCTGATCGCCATGGCCATCCGGGCCAGCCCCGAGCAGCGGCTGCCCCTGAGCGGCATCTACGCCTTCATCGCCGAGCGCTTCCCGTTCTACCGGAGCCGCGGCCGCCGCTGGCAGAACAGTATCCGCCACAACCTCAGCCTCAACTCCTGCTTCCGACGGCTGCCCCGGGGCCACGGCCGCGCCGGCGACTGGACGCTGGACCCCGCTTGCCAGGACAAGTTCCCGGAGGGGAATTACCTT